AGTTAGCAGTTTTTAATACAACAATTAATATTAACGTAACAAGCTCAAATATGAATGAAGCTAATTATATATAAGCAATAGATTCTGCCATAAATAATAACAAGCTAACTAATTAACAAATTATTTCAGAGCTTTCACTTTTTGCTGAAGATCTCAGTCTTAGAACTGATTTAATCTCAAGTGATCAAATAAATTAAAAAAAGATTTAAATTTTAGAAAAATTAAAGTAATTGATTTTACTACTTCCTTCATCATCAACCTTCTCATCATTATCCAATAAAGCAATAGCAAGCTTGATGCCTACTATCAAGCTTACTCTTGATTAACAGAACAGCTAATTAACAAGTTTGCAATCTGCATTATCTGAAGATTGGAGCTAAGTACCATATTAAAATTTGTCAGTTGCTGAAAAGTCTATTAAAAATTAATTAATATTTGACTTTTTTAAAATAATAGATAGCATGGCTAATAGTTCTTAAAGCTCAAATTCTACCTCTTAAAATCTCTAAATAGATATTTCAAATAAATTAGGAGAAAAAATGAATTATAACTCTTTACCAAATGAAGATCCAAAAATATTTTAGGGAAATAGTATAAAAATATAAAGCTAATAAGTAACTGAAAAAAATCTTTGTAATTACCTGTTTTGTAGTAATTTCTAGCCATCAGAAACTTAAACTAAATCTATTATTTATAATATTGCATATAAAACTTACTAATAAAATCCCTACTTAGATGATCCAAGCTTTTAAAATCTGACTTAACAAATTAAATAAAACATTGGAAACTAAACTATTGCCTCTTTTCCAGTAATAAACCCATCTATATTATCATCATCATAAAATCCTTCTTAAAATTCTATTATCAATTAAAGTAGTGCAATGCATAATTTTTAAGGAGCTTAATTGGGAAAAGAGCGATTGGCCTGCTATACAAAAAATAAAAATTAATGGACTTAAAGTGGTTGTAAATTAGTTTTTAATTCAAAAAACAATTAATATACATGCTTTTGTGAGTCTTTAGGTCCTACAACTATTGCTAATGATTTATAAGCTTTAATTTAAAATAAAAACCTTTAAACAGCTTTTAGTGAATAAGGATTTGAAAATATTTCTCATTTTTCTGATTTTTACAAATACATTGCTTTTTGGTTGATAGTTTGTAAAACAATTGGCTTTATATTGCTCTATATTAAAGGAAATCATTTAGATAAAAAGTTTATAAAATATTAAAATAAACAAGTTACAAGCAATTTTAATCAAAGATAAGTTATACCATTACCATTAAATTTAAAATCTATAAAAGAGAGTAACTAAAATATAATTTAATCTCAAAAATAATAAAATGAGAATAACTCTCCTTTTTCTGTTGACTAAACTAAGATTTAGTCATAACGTAAAACAAGAAAAAGATTTTTTTACTCTTAAAATTAAATTAAAGAAGAACAGCATCATGTTTAGAAGAAAAATAAATTAATCATTTAATAAATTGAATATTCAAACTAATAAAAAAACACAAAAGAAATTGAAGAAATTAAGCTTGAATAAAAGGAAAGCTCTCTTTAGAATTTTGAAGATTCAAGTACTCCAAGGAAAGTAGAAGAATAATTTGCTAAAGCAGATAATAAGAGTATATTTTCTAAGCATTAAATAAAAAATGTATTTTTAGAAAATGGAAATCAAATCAAAAATGAATCTAAATATGAAGATTAATAGTGTGAGTCATTAAAAAAAATTCCTTCAATTGACTACCTTTGCAAAGAATAAGCTGTATAATTTGAAACGAAAGAAAATCATAGCATTTAAAATAGTAGTAAAAATATAATTACCCATTCATCAAAGAATATTACTGACTTAAGTTAATTTAGCAGCAATACACAAAAATTTATTTAATTTAGATTTATAAAATAAATTTTATTCTTCCATAACTTTTTTGGAATATTTTTAGTTTATGATAAGGAGATGTCAAGGCCATTAAGATTTTCATGCTTTTATGTGAGATTGATACATTCATTTGCTATTTCTGTTATATTTAACTAGTCTCTTAGTATAATTTAATTGATTGCCGTTTCAATAGCTAATGCAATAATAATTATTAGTTGTCTGAAGTTATTAGAAATTATTACAAAAAAGTTGAGTCGAATTGCTCTTATTTTAATTTTACTATCTTTACTAAGCTTTTATTACTATGTAATTTTATCTGTAGTAAGTGGATAGTAAGTTAGTTCTTCGAACTTCTCTATGCTAACTTATTTAATATTTACTCTCTTTGATTTGTTTGGAATTTCTTTTTTATCTGCTATAATTTAAAGATATTTTGCTATTAGAATGCTCAAGAAATAATAACTACAAAGTTGTTCTCATAAGCTTTTTGAGTTTCTTCACTTGTAAATTATATTAAATAGTGTTATATGATAATCCATATTTTTTATCATAGTAAAAATATTTTTATTTTTTATTTTTGTAATATTTAATTATTCAGATAATCAATTTACTTACTTGTTAATTTTTCAAGAACACATATTGTAAATTTAATTAACTTGGTAAATATTATAAATTACTTAGACTTTTGGGATAATATTATTTCATATGATTATTCTATTATTAAATCACATTTTTTGTTTGCTTTTTTAATTACATTTATTTTGTGTAAATTTTTTTTAGCTTCATTTTGAAAAAAAGTTATCATTTGTTAACCCCTAAAATTTATTTAAATAGCACCTAATACTTAGAGGCCACAAATTATTTAAAAGGAGAGATTAGTTTTAAGTTATCCTAAAAAATAGTAAATTTATGAATAATGACAGAAATTCATTAATTTAAAGTTTGTTTGGCTAGATTCTTCTTAGCTATTCATTTAAAATAAATTGCAATAATTTTCATATTAATCCTTTCTTTTTTTCAATTATTATTACTTCTATAATGAAACATATTTTAAGAAAGATTAAAATGAATACATTTTTAATAAATGTTAATTTTTTTTTAATTGAAACTGATTAGTTTTAATTGTGTGAATATATAATAAAAATGAGAAATTTTTTCAAAATATTTCTTTTAAGTATTAAGTATGGATATTTTTCTAAATTTGACATGTTAAAATTTTTTTTACTCAATTTAGAACAAAAAAATTTTACTATTTTTCTTCAAGGAATAGTTATAAAATTTATTTTTTTGAAGCTATTCCTTGCTATCAAGTCAGCAGAATTTTTGAGATATTACTGTAATTAATAATTATTTTCAATAAAAAAGACTTTAAAGTACATCTAAGTATTAAGTGCAGGGGAAATGAATAATTGTATTAAAAATTAGATTAATTAAATAAATGATTTTATTTTAATTTATATCCTAAAATTCTAATTTAATGATTTCTTAAATTGAAATATTAAATTTTTTATTTGTAATAGATTTCTGTTAATCCACTTTAGCATTTTGGTGGTATTGAAGTATTTTAGAGATGATTAGTAAAATTTTTAATTTATTATGATTAAATACTAATCAAAAAACATAAAATAAAATTTACAGATAATTCTTTATATTTAAAATATAGTGTTTAAAAATACTTTTTTTACTTGATTAACATAAAATAATTTAACATACAGATCTTCTATATCCTAAAGCTAAATCCTAATTTAATATTTTACTCTTTCAACCTTTATTTTAATTTTTTTACTATTTTTATAGATTTATTCTTTGAAAGTCATCTTAAAGATTGAACTCTACATAAAAATAGATTTATTTATCTTGAATATTTTAAAGTAATTAATAAATATTTAAAAAATTATATAAATAGTTAGGTGGATATTTATAAATTTTGTGTAAATCTATCAAATTCAGACTGAGATTATTAAAAAAATATATTTTAAAACACTCTTAGACAGCCAATTTATTTTTGGTTATCCTTTTTAGGTAATTAAATAATTAATTAGAATAATAACTGGGAGATTTATTGTACTCAATTAATTAACTTTTTTAAATTATTATAATACAAATAGATAAACAACATCAAAACTTTTTTATTAAATTTCCTTTAGATATTTTTTTAATACCAATAATTGCTTTCAATGCATATTTGATTCTTATATTTTATTTGGATTAAGTTCCATCGTCAATCAGCTCTTATTCTCTTATGTTAACCACAAAAATTTAATAATTAATTTCCTTGATCAAATTCATATACGCTATTTCTATCTCTGAAACATCTTTACTAAGATCAATATTAAAGCATTATTGATGCAAATCTAAATCTAGAGGACTGTTCTTAATTTAGTGAAAATTCATATCATTTAATTTTAAGAAAAGGATATTATAATGGCTGTGTGTGAAATAGCTATAAAATCCTTTATTTTATTTTTTGTGTTTCCTTTGGCTAGAAATTTTAAATCTTTAAATTATTTTGGATAACTCTTGACTTATTATTTCAGGTAAATTAAAATTTTTTAGTGAATCTGTTCTAAACATGCTTAAAATGTTGTACATAAATAGTTTATTTAAGTTATGAAACTGAGAATTTTTTATATAAGATGAATTTTCTTTCTTATTTCTTATCTTTAAAGCCTATTTTGGCTAGTTTAGCCTTATTTCAGAAAAGTCAAAATTTTTTAGAAAAGAAGCAGAATTTGGTTTTAAACAAAAAAAATTTTTAAATAAATTTGAATGAGATTATTTCTTGTTCAAATCAATAAATTAGTTATAATTCTTGAAATTGTTATTATTGTCGTTAATTGAAATGTTAACTTTGTTTTTGCTATCATCTATATTTAAAAAATTATGATAAAATTGATTATTTATAACTCTTTCTTTATTATCATTTAAATTAATTTCCCCACAATAATTAACAAATTATTTGCTCATACCACTATTTAAATTCGCATAAACGCATTATTTAAATGTAAAATATTAACAATCTAGTTATTATTTTAATTTTAAAGTACTCATTTTAGTAAATTCTCCATTCCTTCTCTCTTTTACTTTTGAAGAAAGATCATCATGAATTTAATGGGCTAATTTTTTTTCATCTTTTAAACCATAAAATTTAAGAAACTCTTATTTAAGGTTATCAATTAAGAAATTATGATTTAAGAACTCTTATTTTTAATTGCGTTTAATTTAATTTTATTCATTAGTCTGCTAAGGTGATGCGTTAAAGCTTTATTTTACTTATGGTTAGTTATGCGAGTTTTTATATTAATATGGAGGAATTTAACTAATAAATTATGAGCTATAAAGACTTTAAATCATTATTTATTCTTAGTCATTAGATGATTATTCATCTTCAATTTGAGTTTCATTTATTTGGAAGGGTTAATTTCCAATACTACATACTATCTCAAAATAACTTCTATCAACATTAGTCAAATTTGTAGAAAAAGAGCAACGTAATTTATTAGAAGCATGTGCATCAAGATCATCTTATCTTTTCATTTTTACTTGTAAAAAGTCTATTTATTCTTCATTTTCATGTATACTTTTTATTATATTGCTTTCATAAAAGTTATGATTGTTTATAACATTCTCATCATTTTTTTCTAAGTGGAAATCTTGCACATATGAAAGCTAGAGTTTATCTTATGAGAATATCTAGTCATAGCTATACCCATTAAGAAACACTTATGCTTAATAGTTTTATATTACCTAGTTTTAGTTATAGATATTTAAATTATTACTGCTTAATACGCCATTTTAGTGCTGTTTTATTGCTATTCTATTGATTTAAGGGGGAAGATTATTTATAACTTAATTATAAGTATAAAAGTAGCTAGGTTAACTTTATTATATTAATTGATTTTATCCCTAATAATTTTATGAAGGGATAAAACTTTAAATAAACATTTTGTTTCTTTTATATTTTAGAAATTTGTAAATTTATTTTTTGGTAAATTATGTTAAATAACTAAATAAAAAATCACCTATTAATTATAGCATTAATTTTAAAAAAATTAATTATAATATAAACAATTTAAATCTTTTTTCTTATTGGTATGTATGGATAGATGGAGTCAGCTTCTATAATATTAAAATTTTTGAATTATATTTTTTAGTAAACTAAATTGTTATTAAATTATTAGATAATAACTTAAAAAATATAATAAATTATCAATTTTTTTTTTCTTTTAAAATATAAATTCATTTTATTGTAAATTTAACTTAAAAAGAGCAAGTTTAAAATAATTTATGGTAGTGAAAACACATTTTCGTTTTAAATAATTTTCATAAAACCTTAAAAATATAATATTTATTCATCTATTACCACATCTAATATTTTATATTCTTTGATTCAAAAGCAAATAATCCTTTTTTATTTGGTTTCTGATCTTAATATGCATTAATTATTTAAATAAATTTAATAATTAAAGAATCCATCCTTGATCTTTTAATCTAATAGTTTTTTAAATTAATCAATTAAAGCGATGATATTTTTATTAAAAGTAAGTTAAGAAACATTTCATTTCGATTTCTTTACGCCTTCTAATTACAAAAAAAATATTTTTGATTTCATTTAGCATATATTTTAATTTAAAATATTTCATTAAAAATATTAAAAATAACTAAGTAAATTATATTTTATTTTAAAATTATTTAAGCAAGCAAGCAATCAATCATAATTTTCATTGATAGTATTTTTATACATGTATCACTCCATCTACTTTAGTATTTTATGATTTTATTAATCTTTTAATTTTTGCAAAGCAAGTCTAGAATTATATAAATGTCTTTTCTATTACTTTCTTTACTTACATCTGAAATAAATTCATCAAAATACAATATTACGATTAATAATAAATCTACCCTTCTTCTTTTAAAACTACAAATTCATGTATTAATCAGAATATTAGAGCTTTTGTAAAAGATGAGCTTAATATGAATTAAGATAAAAACTAAAAACAGAGTCATTATTGGAACTCAAATATCTTTTGAGGAATGTATGCTTGAATTAAAATCAAACATGAGCCATATAAAATTTAATTTAGTCGAAAATAATGTCAGCCTATAAGAAAAAATATAAAAACTGAAACATTACTTTTGATCAAATTAATGCTTTTACTGCTCATAAATTGATTGTGTTGTCCTAATAGAATTATTACAAATTTTTGATGCTTGGAAACTTGAAGGTTACATGAAAAGAAATATATCAATCCAATAAATAAAAAGTAATAAAATACAATTATATTGATTATCTTCACTTGATTTTTAAAAATTAGTTTTAGATGACTTATTATTATTTAGCATATTTAATAATAGTTTGATTATATTTATCTATTTTAGTAAGGTATTTCGAATGAATCGATATCTTTCAATTAAAGTAAACTGACTATTAATATTTTTTATTAAATTTGGTCTTGAAAAGTTTTTATTAATAAACTAAATAAAAAATACTTTTTATCGAAATTTTAAAATAAGCATAAAATACCATGAATTTATAAAGGTAGAAAAAAAAAATTAAAGTTAATTAAATATCATATCCAGTTTTTATTTTATTTTAGACATCTGTAACATTTTATAAAGGCAAATAGAATTCATGCTTTTAGTTATTGTTGATATTCTAGAAATGATCTAATAACATAAAATTATTTTTTTCAAAAAGAAAAACTGAAAAAAAATAGCTAGTTAATTACTAATTTATAAAATAAAACTAAAGTTTTTAATGGAATACAAATCAAAGGCTTATTACTTAAGATATAAAGAAATGCTTATTGAATTAAGAAAAAAATAAATTATAATTACTTAAAATAATAAGAATTGTATTCAGGCTTGAATATTTTGATAAACATCTTAAATTTTAGATTTTTTACAGTAATATTTTACAAAGACATACTATAATCAAAAAAACATAAACTTTATAGGAATTTTATTCACTAGTACTATTTTAAGTGGTATAAATGTAATAAATATTTAAATAATTATCTTTTGTTTATTTAAGTAATTTTGTCTTTTTTAGTTTTTTTTACATGATTTATTTTTTTAAATAATTTATAAACTCAATATTTTAAGGTAAATGAAATATTGGTAAAATAATAAATTATCTAATGTTTTTAATTTCCATAATTTACTTTAAATTCATTTTTCTTGAAAGTTGGTAGGTTATCTTTTAGATAAATTCATAAAAATAAAAACTAACTTTTATATATAACAAACACTATAAACTAGATTAATTTTATAAGTAAAAATTTTTTAAATTTGGCGTAAAAGTCTATTTTTATAATTAAAGTGAACTTTTTTTAAATTAAATTTATTCGGCTATATTCTGTATAGCTTTAGAGTATATGAAATGATTCTAGAAGAAATTGAGAAAGAAAATAATATTTACTTTATTAATATGGTTAAGCTTCATAGTAGTGGTAATTTAGAAAATTGACAACTTAAGCAATATTAAAAATGTGCAGAATAGGTTAGTATTAATTAATGTTTAACATAAAATCAAGGAGTTAACATGCTAGTTGTTAATATATATTTACTAAATTTTTCTTTATTTTATTTGTTATAAATTAATAATAAAATACGAAGAGAAGGTCACCATTTTATACCATTTTATGGTGAAAGTAGTAATAATTTACATATTATAAAGTTGTAAATGGAATTTTGAGTTATTTATTGTATTTTAATTGAAATAAAATATAGATGGTTTACTTTTTTTATGTGAAACTTTTAACTGAAAAATAATTTTTTTAATCGTTTTTAAATACAATCTATTATATAAGCTTACTTTTTTAAGCATTCATGAATATATTAATTAATATAAAAATAAATAACTTCTTAATAGCATTAATTATGTAAACTGTATTTTTCTTTGAGCATTTTAATTAATTTATAATTTTAATTTTCCTCAGTAATAAAATATTTCATAACTTTTATCACAAAAAGTCTTTTCAGTGATAGAGGGCTTAACATGATAACTCAGCAATTTTAGAGATATAAGTTTTAAAACTTTTATTTTGTCAGCAGCCATTAATTAATAATTAAATTGTTTCTTCTTTCTTAGTTTTTTTTCATGAAGTTTAAATATTATTGTTAAGTAACTGAGATATATTTTCAGGTAAATGTATTTTAACAGAAAATAAATAAATTAGTAATTACTATTCTTTTATTCAATTATTTATTTTAGATTACATTTTTTTTGAAAAACAAGTGGTTGTTATTAAAATAAAACTTTATAGAAATTAAATTTTATTATTTACGTAGTAATAAATGTAAGGAATATTAGACAATTTATTTGTATAATTTGTATATTAAATGTAAATTTATATACCAAATAAAACTCTTAATTAATTTTATAATATAATATGAAGCAATAAGAAATTAGAATAAAAAACATGCTATAAAGTCTAATTATATTTTTAATTTAAATCTCACATTTTTATGCAACCTGGTATACTATTGAAGGGTATGGTATGAAAAGCTTAGTAAGAGGGGTTGGCTCTACTCCTCAGAGCTTTACTATTTAGTAATAAGACTTCAAAGACGCTGTTATTGTAGGGTATTTTAAATTTAACACCTTAGATCCAAATAAATAGTATTCTATGATGAGGTACTAGGTAAGTCAAGAATATACATTCTTGAACTATTATACTATTAATTATTCTCCATACATACTGATATAGATGGATAATGATAATCAACTTGAACTTAACTAACAAGGCCCAGGAATTACAACAGGCTATTGGTATTAATTTGGTTTCGGATTCAAATAATCACTTAATATTTACTATTCTGTATGGCAAGGATATCCTTAAGGAGCAATAGTTTATCCTACTTACTAGTATAATAATTTTTAATTAAGATCAGATATTACATAGCTTACTTTATGTATTATTTGTCCTCCTCTTGAAAATAAATTTACATAATTTGTTGGACAGTATTCATCAATAAAAATGATCACAGGTTTCTACCCTCAAGATATATATAAATTGCTAATAAACGAAAACAACATGAATGATCAGTTATTGAGATCAGCATTTTTTATAAATGATAATGTAATTAACTACATTAAAACATAATACTACCCATTAACTACAGATTTAAGTACTAATTGCACTAATTCTACCAAATTTTACTTTGATGGAATTTGTATTGATCCATCTTAATGCTAGAACATAGTCTATTTTTAGACAACCTAATTCGGATCTATAAATAGTGTTTTCTATAATTCAATAAAATTAAAATGTGATGTTTGCTAAGATTATTGTCTAAATTGCGATAATAAATCTATTTGTTTATAATGTAAAAGTGGCTATGTGCTTGATACTACAAATAATATTTGTAAAAGATGTCCAGTAAATAGCTTCTATAATCCATTAAATTCTCTATGTTTATCTAATTGTCCTAATGGATATTAAAAGGATTATATTAACTAACTATGTGTTCAAAATTTTAATCCCTTTTATATCTTACTAAACCCTTTGCTATATCCAAGAAATTTTATTTAAAATGATGGATTTACTTTGATGGATACTAATTTGTAGATTTAACCTGATTAATATACCTAATGTTGGCTAGAAAATCAAAGCTTTGGGCCTTATACTATTTTGGGAGGACAAAATAATCTCAATTCTAACAAAATTAATAAAAAAATTCTTAATTTACCCAAAAACTTTTAAAAAATTATTACTTTTTAAGGTTTAATTTATAATAACGGTTAATAAGGTGATTTTATTTTAGAAGTTAATAATAATTTAGTAACCTTATCATCCTTTACTAAAATATTCACTAATTATTAACTTTGTGACGATAATTAATCTGTTAACTTCTACCAATTAACTTATATTATTAATGACTCCACAACTAATCTAGATATTAATATTTCATCTAATAAAAATGGATGGGGAATCAGAAAC